GAGGAAAGAGATGACGCGCCCTACGAGTTTGTTCAACTTTTGCAACACCTGAATACTACACCCATATCTGACGGCATGGTTAGGAAAGCTACAGACAGAGATCCCGTTCTATCGACAGTGAAACGTATGATGCTGCGTGGCTGGGGTTCACGAGCCCCTGGTGATCTGCGTCCGTTTTTTAATTGTAGATTTGAGCTGAGCCTGCATGAAGGATGTATCCTACTTGGATCTCGCATCGTTATTCCATTGACTCTCAGGTCAGCTGTACTGAAAGAATTACATGATGCACATCCAGGTATTGTCCGCATGAAAGCCCTCGCCAGATCCTACTGCTGGTGGCCAGCGATTGATCGAGACATCGAAGCACATTTGTGTACTTGTAACACATGCCAAAAATACCAAAGAGATAATCCAACAGGCCCAATTCACCCTTGGCAGTTGCCCGGCAGCCAATGGGAACGTGTCCACGCCGATTACTTTGGCCCGATCGAAGGAAAGATGTTGCTAGTTTTAGTAGATGCGTACTCCAAATGGATTGATGTGCATGTTGTTGCAAACGCTACTGCAGAAGCTACAATCAATGGCTTACGCTCTAGTCTATCTACACATGGCATACCAAAAACATTAGTCACTGACAACGGTCCGCAATTTAAGAGTGCAGCGTTCAAAGAATACCTGCCGAGCAACGGCGTTTATCACATGACTTCCGCACCGTACCATCCAGCGTCAGACGGTTTAGCTGAAAGAGCGGTCCAAACCGTGAAAGCTGGTCTTCTAAAGCAGCGTAATGGCTCGTTACGAACCAAACTTGACCGATTCTTGTTCGTATATCGGATCATACCGCTAGAGTCTATCGGAAAGAGCCCTGGGGAGGCAATGTGTGGGCGTCGACCACGTACGAGGCTAGACGTACTTTTTCCAGACCCTCGTCAGACCAGGCGTTGCCAGCAACAACGTATGCATGAAAGTGGACGCGCACCAGTTAAGCCCCAGAAGTCGATAGTGGAACGTGTTGTTTACACGAAACTACCACATGAGCGGTTATGGCAGCCTGGCACCGTGCTTACGAGCTCAGAAACGGAGGCCGAAATACAACTAGAGAGTGGAGAGACCGTACGCAGGCACAATGATTTCATCCGGCCCCGCACCCCAGTCACACCGTAACCTGGGGAAGAGAAAGTGGTTCCAGTAGATCTGGAGGAGACAAACAAAAACCAAACGGAAGAAATCGATCAGCTGATTGCCATTCGGAAACCGCGCTGCTCACCTAAGCCGATAGAACGTTACATTTCACAACTGTGCTTCCATCTGTTACGTGCGGGGATGTTACATGTGTGTCGTCCGCCAAACCGCTGAGCCGATGAGCAAACACAGACACATACAGATCGATTGACCGATAGCTGATTCGTCCACTCTTTTTCCTTGTGCTGATTGGTTCCTTTTCGACTTATTCATCTGGTGTAACCTACAAGCCATCCCTTCCAGTTTTTGACACGTCCCATCCGGTGTGTGTTCTTATGCACTTCTTGCGCGGACTAAGGGTCCAGGTGCGATCCAGCAATACTCGAGTAATGCGTATAGGGGACTGTGGCGCATAGCTGGGTAAGTCCAGGGGTTGAACACTCCTAAGCACCCCGTTTGGTAGCAGTAATAGTTGAGTTCCTGTTAGCCCATTTACTGCGCTGACCGGCATTATGAAGACCGACATGCACGTTCTAACCGTACGCCACATTGTGCCCTGTCTTAAAAGCAGAAAACAAGGTATAACAAACGGCACTGCGTAACTGTATTTCCTAAAATCCCAGTTGAGGAATTAGCTCGCTCATATTTTACGGCACGATTTGCCAAGTAAACCTCGCTTCAGCAATTATGTTTCCACAACGAGTACTACTAGCATTCAGCTTCCGTGTGGGTCTCGTTCAGAGTCCAAAGAAGCTTTTCGGTTTGCGAATTCAGGCTTGACCAATTGGGCAGTAATATTTTTTGTTTTAAGCAACCTTATACAACAACCCCGTTTGGCCGACATCCGGATCATTATCATTAGTCTTTGTCCGTCGGAGGCTAACGGTTGCTCCAGGTAGTCTCATGCGCTTTCTTCACGTTTTAGCGTCACCAAACAGTTAGTTGTGTTCGACGTGTCTGCTTCCTGTTATCTACGCTCGATCAAACACATCGACCTTTACTGAGAGCTACTAGGAACACAAATGTAACCAGTTGCAGAGCTTGAAAAAGCCGACCGAATGCATTTACCAAACTGCAAGCTGGGACGACTTTTTGAGAAGAAGGGAAGATAAATGGAGGGTGAATGTCGGGAACAAGACATTTACGAATCCACGAGGTCTAAATTTTTGGTGGGAGCAGAAAATTAGAAGCTAGTCCAGTTATGCAGTCCGAAAGCGCTAACTTATTAGAACTTTCTTTCCATTTCACCAGCCAACTTTAAAAAGCTCACGTTCACGTATTCTGTTGAATAAGATAAGGCAAATTAACTTAACTCAAAGAATGAACACGGATAAAAGGGAAAGTTATTGTGCGGTAGTGGGGATATTTTACACCAAGAAAGTTAGTATGCGTGTGATAGAGCAAAAGTTAGCGGGAAGTTAAACATGAAAATGTCCTACCACTAATTAGCTTATCGGCAAATTATATGAGCAATTTTATGCCGTTTGTTGGCAGTAAACGTTCTGTGAAACCAAGTAACCACGAAGGTGCTGGACAAGAAATGATTATTCGTTTGAGCAACCATAGTTAATGAAGGCCACGTAAGCAAGATGCTAGCATACTAACTTTCTCACGATCACGAAATGCAAGAAAGTTGCCTGTTGACTAAACTTGCAAATAACAATGCGCACACGTAATAATTAGAGCTCTATCTTAACCTGTAATAAGGTGAAAGAATGAATTTAGTATGCGGAAGGATTATACTGTAGAGGATTAAGAGTACAAAAATTTTCTTTTTTAAGCTTGCACGTCACCCTCGAAGTAGGACTATCGAAACTTTCCCTACATGTTACGAAGTTTAGGATCCGCACTGCCGGAGCGACTAAAAAGTCTTTGCAGTCATGCTTCTAACACCCGCAGTAACCCATACCAATAGGCAATATTCGGGCTATTGGTGCCATTCTCAGCTAGATGAAATATCCTCCGTCAAAGCAATATCAAAGCAAATGATGCACCAATCGAAGCGTTTCTCAAAATTCTTTACTTTTTTCTCGATTAAGCTACCAGCTTAGCACAGCTTCTATGTCTTTAATTAACTGCTATTTAATTTGATTGCTATAAGCTGTGGAAAATGGTCCAACAAAGGTAAAATTCAACTAATTTGAACAATTTATCATTTGGAGGGTAAACTAGCAAAAAAGTGAATAAAACGTTTTAACAATAATAATTCTATTAAGCGCGATAATATAAATAACATTGATAAAGGGCTCTTCGGAAATAAGCTAGTCATTGTAATGTGCTACCAAACCAAGTGACTTAGTTTGAGGTCAAGCGAACAATTTGGATTATTTGCAGCATTAATGGGGACTTCTCTTAATACAACAGCCCGCATTTAAATTCAGTGTTGCCAGCGAACGGCATTAGTGTTACGCATTGAAACTGTGGGTATAGCGGACAAAATGCGATATACGACGGAAGAAAATGTTTAAAATAATGCAGTGCATGAATTGTGGATAGTTGTTAGCAATTATATTATTAAATATTTAAAATGCGCATGCCTGCTTTCAGCAAAATCGATGTGCTCATCATTAATGGAAGTAGCAGTCGTTTTAACCTGTGGCGTTGCATATCGACCGAAAGTTAAGTTTACATATTAAAAAATAACTGGAAATCTAGGGAGCTTTTGACGATAACTATAAAATTAAAAGCGAAAACTTTAAGGCATATAAGGAACTAGCACAATTGTCGTATTGAAGGATATTTTCCGACCTCTTTTTACGGTTTCACTGAAGTTGAATAAGCACTGATTTTGACATTCATGAATGCCGCACCGCCTAATCCTGGCGCGCTTAAAGATGCCATTTGTAACATTTGTGTTGCTGCATTACTCCCGCGCGCTTTTCCTCTGTTACGGGCACAGCCTCCATTGACAGCTACCAAAGGCATGAACCTCAAGAAATTGTCTAGACGCAGGCGAACCTACGAAGCAGCTCCAACAGCCTGTACCTGTGATCGTTAACAAAAGTTCAGAAATAGATGTAAGCAATACCTCAGGACTGTTAATCTCCAGTACGAGCGGGGTTTAACTGTTTTGACCGCAGCCAATCCCAAGAAATTTTTACTTTTGTGAAAAGACGCAGCGCGGCAAAACTGTCTATGTCAGCCTTATTGCGAGCAGACGGGACTGGTGCGCAAATTGCTAATGACACATAGTAATCAATATACTATGGTCTTTGCTCTGAAGATCTTTACCCTTTTTGAATTGCTTTCACGAGTTTCATAAGATTCTTGCTTAGCTTTTTAACATAACGGAGACTCAGGTCTTCGAGTTACTGCGGCATTAATCTCTCTAAAGCTTCCGGTCCTGATACATTTCATCCGAAGCTGTTGCGTGAATTGGCCACTGAGCTGAGTAGTCTTCTCACATGCGTGTTCTCAATATCGCTGGACAGCTGCATCCTAGCTTCCGAGTGGAAGGAGACAATCGTTTTTTTGCTTTTGAGTGCCGGTGACAGCGCTCCTCCCGCGAACTACCGTCCTGTCAGTTTGACAAGCGTAGTAGTCAAATTGTTTGGAAACTGATACGGGATTCAGTGGAGAACCACATTAATAGATTCAACCTTCTCAGTGTTGCGCAACATTTATTCCGCAAGGGATTTTCATGTAAGACTAATCTACTTGTAGCTCGTGAAAGCTGTGCCCAAGCGGTAGACAGTAGTCACGCTGTAGACGTGCTATTCATGCGCTTTCCTTAAGCTTTTGACACTGTTCCTCATCTTTGACTCACTAAAGTTGAGATCTTACGGGTATATCTGGTCGCGCCCTTCAATGGGTGTCTGCTTTCATGAGGGGCGTAGCCTTTTGCTCAGGCAAGCTGTCCTGCGGGGCTCAGTATTGGGCCATTGTTGTTCGCGATCTATGTAAATGACTTGACCGGGGGAGCTAGGAGTGTCATCACTAACGTTTGCTGACGACCTTAAGTTCTGAATTATTGTGGATATCGCGGGGATCCTGTGGACTTCTTGGATAAGATCTGGGAATGGTCTACCTTATTGTTGATGCCCATCATTAAGGCCAAGTGCTGTGTTCTAATCGGAGCTGCTCATCCTCTCACCCGATATGTTGTCCGCGGTCGTGAAATCCCTGTTGTCACTCAGCAGGTTGATTTAGGGGTCGTACACTTAGCAGCACTTCACTCTGGTGACAATTGGAAGAAGGCTGCTTGTCGGGGGTTTCATATGATGTGGTTTATTCGCCGCTCTTTCGGAGTCCTAACGGCCGATTTCTTTGTGAAGCTATTCTCAGCATCCGTCAGACCCCACCTGGAATACTGTATCCAGGCGTTTACCATGTCTAATCGGAGAAAAAATGGATTTGGAGAGGATGTTACGAGTGAGCACTCGGTTAATGCAGGATCTACGGGGACAGACGTATCCTGAACACTTGTTTATTTTGGGGTTGTACTCCATGCACTACCGAAGGATAAAAGGGGACCTGAATCTCACTTATCGTATTTTGACGGGTAGGATCAGCCCGAATTTGTCAGGTCTATTTAGTCCCGGTGCATTACCTAATCTTCGCGATCACCCACTGAAACTGCATAAACCACGGTCTGATAGGATTTGAACGGAAACTGGTCTGTCGCGCCAAATTATAGATTGCTGGAATTCGCCTCCAGATCACGTGGTTAGGGAACCTACGGTTAAGGGTTTTACACGCCAGCTCAAAGTTCTTGGTTGGCAACACCAAACCTTTCCTTTTTCCTAACTGCCTCACTTTCACTTTTCAGTTCTTTTTTAACGACGCAAATATCTTAGTATTCTATTTGTTTAGTTCTTTCCATTTTCTCTTCTTGCCTTCTGAGTTTACTTTCTCTCTCACGTAACCGGCCCAGCAGTGACTGTTATGGCAGGATACGTGGGCATTAATTAGTTGGACGGTGTGATGCGGTCTTTGTTTTAGGTCCATCAATATTTCAAAGTCTGCTAACTCCTGGTTCAACGACCCGCTGAAGAAGGAACACCCACGGAATAATCCTATCGTTCCATTCCCGCTTGAACTTGTACAATCACACGGTCCCGCATGATATCTTCAAAACTCGCGTCTAAATTTACATCTAGAAGTATCCGACTGCCAGACGGCTCATCCTACAAATGCGAGAAAAAGGTATCTTTTTGATAGCTGATTTGTTCGTCTGCATCAGATTAAGGCTCACTCCGAAAGTGATTGCTTGGATGTGGCCGCATACCTTGGATGCCAAAACGATTGGTACTTGTTCTTTATATCGAAGGTACCTTTTTATATGAGCCCTGATGGCTTAGACCGAAGATGAATTATGTTTACTTCCTTCTTGTTTTCCACTGTCTGTCGACCATCTACATGGCAAGATTACCAGGTAGGGCTCGTTTTAAGGGGTCATAAGCTCAGATTGTATTTCCTTTTTTTCCTATGCGACATGTGTGCTACAAAGCGCATTCAACCCCAAAACTCACAGGACTTATCGGACATAAACGTCATCAATGACATCATTGTAACAAGTGAGTCCTTTGCTTATTACATCGTTGCGTTTTTGTTGACCTCGAAACACCCCCTGTAGTCCGTCGTGTTTGCTTGTACATATCTAATGAAGTGCAGCTGAATGTATTTTGTGCTTCGTGAAGTTTCTTGTGACCTACTATTCTTGTGGCTACTAACCTTTGCAATTAGTTCTCGAGACTCCTTGCTTTTCCGTTTTACGGCAGATGCTAATAAATCACACCAAATATTCACTTTTCGCGTCGGATCAAATGGCTAGACGACGCACTACATGCTTGATGGAAACGAATTATTTCATGTGTCCCAATAAGTTGACTTAGCCGTCATGTTGTCTCCAGACTCCAACTCAAGTGAGAACGGGAAACGAGCGGGTGTTCCATAAACGGAAAAAATGTTTATTACATTGTTTACTGCCTTAGAGCGCACCTGAATTACTTCGTCCTTACCTGGCTAGTGATGGGATGGTGGTAGAGCGGGTCTTGAGGAGTGGCACCGAAATACTTCGAGCGTTGTGGCTCAGGCCAATCGTGTTTTCTCTACACTATCGTCGTCATTGTGGCGATTTAGTTTTCACTTATTGTATCCTAACAAGGCGGATCCACCCTCATCTATCCTGGCTTTTTCATCCTACCCAGTTACCTATTCTACGTGGGCATCCATTGAATTTGAACAAACTCCGATCTGATGGGGTTCGGTTTGACATAGTTTTTTACATAGTGTGATAGACTTTGGAATGCGTTACCCGAGGACGTCGTATTGTCACCCATGCTAACAGAGTTTAAACGTCCCTCGGCGCCCTCAACTTGCAGCTCCGAATCCTCCCTTTCCTTAATTTTTCTGATCCATCTTCAGTTCATTTCCTTCTTATTTACACATACAAATTTAGTATTATCACCCTACTTTATACGTAGTCTAAAATTTTCCTCTTTTTTAACGCACACGGTCTGCGCAGCGGGAACCGAACGAACGGCGCGTGTATCTTGATTGGCTGACTATGATGTGTTCTGTACGTGCTGTCCAATCATACCACCGAATTCTAACTTGCATCATCGACGCATTTAGTATGGAACAACCATGGGAATCCCCTTTTCTTCTTGTCCCGTTTGCATTTATGTGCTGGCCGGCATCCAGCAGGGCCACCCACCTACTTTATACTTTGGAGGTTCTGGCTTCGAGCCTCCTAACGGACCGGGCGACCCCCGCAGTATCTCTAGCCCACGCGCGACTAGTGGTGGTTGCATGGCAGCATGGCGCCTGTACGATATACCGGCATACTTTTAATTCCTCATTTTTCTTTCTTCCGGTGGCTTGGGGGCTATGCTCGAGAGGAGGGAATTAGAAAGTCATAACACATCCGCCGCAGGAGTTGTTGCAGATCTAGTTTACTCCCTTGCCTGTACCATGTTAGCGAAGGAACAGTCGAATCGAGACGATCGAGTTTTAGTTCAGTGATGCTGAGAGTATCAGCAATACCTCACTCATGTCATCGCGATGAGACTGGACGTTAATGTGGTGCCTTGATTTGTGTGCCTCAGTGGTCCATTGATCTATGTAGGACGGTGCTTTACACACCTTCAGTCAATCATACCAGATTGGTTAATGGTTACAGGTCAGCCCACATACAACCATGACACTTTCCTCAAACAAACTTCATCCTGCATCGGCTGTCGCGCAGATTATCAAAGGTCGCCTTATCTGCTGCATACAGCAGGACAGATAAGCTAAAACATGCTACTGCTGGCACCTCCCTTCTTTCTTTTCCACCTGTTTCTCACTCTCATCCCGACCCCCATTGCTAATCTCCCTGCTATAATTCCCAGCTTAATTGACAGCAACCGAAGTGCCACTGGAGTAGAACCATCTGCAGCCACCTCCCGCAGCACCCACCGGATGCCTATCGGTAAAAGCCCCTTATAAGGCCACACTATCCCGTTTCCATGGCAAATCCAATGGTCGCACTCTAAGACAAACACACACACTGATGTGTGTTGTGTGTCCGAAACTAGGATCAATGACCCTAACGGAGTTATTGAATTAACTGCACCCGGCTTATCGTCTCGCTATTGGTTGCACGCATCCGGAGACGCCGACGCAGCACTCACGGGTTAAGCTGATGTAGATATCATACTAAGCTCCAAGGCTGAACCATAGTTGATTGATTGGGTTCCGGTGAACAGCCGTTTATGTGCAGCCAGTTTGACGACATCAGCTAAGGTGGATTCACGAATTCATACAAAACGCTGTTTGTGATTTCCGCTTATGTTCTCACGGACTGTAGTTCTACTACCGTCAAGGATATTCTATCACGAACTGAACGCCCTACTACGCAGTGCTACCAGTTCAGATATTACAGTATTTTCACGGTATCTGAACTCACAAGTAGGGCGTCTGAGCTCTTCAGCAACTCAGCTGGGTGGTTATTATGGGCTTAACCCCGAACGCATTGACAACGGTGAGCGTCTGTTGCAACTGTGTGCCGAGTACCAGTTGTCTCTTTGTAGCACTTCTTTTAGACACAGTGGGCGCCGAAGTGCCACTTGGCGTCCACCTGTAGCTGGCCAGCGATGGACCCAAATTGATCACATAGCCATAAGTTACAGGTGGCGAGGTTCCATCCTGGATTGTTGCTAGTTCTGGAGTAATTGCATCTACTATGATCATGTCTTAGTACGCTGTCGTTTGTCCATGAATTTGACCGTGAGGCGCACCAAGCGTCTCCTCCAATTGACAACTGAAAAATTGTCAGCCCTCGGTCAGGCAAGCCTATCAAGACGCACTGCGTACCGAACTTTCGCTGCCTTATCCTAATGACACTGAGCTTCAGTGGAATAGGATCTCGGCTGCCATGCACGACGCAGGAGCATCTGCTTGTGGCACTATCAATCGTCACCGCACCAGTCACTGGATATCCGAGAGGTCGCTGAACCTGTTGGAATCTAGAAGACACCTTCCGGCTGGCTCTGAGCACAATGTGACCAGACGGGCTATTAGGCGTGAACTAAAGCGGAGTTTACGTGCTGACAAGAAAGCCTGGTGGACCAGTCGGGCTCAAGAAATGGAGGAGGCAAGAACATTAGGCAAATAACCGCAAGCTCTTCCAGCTAATCCGCACCACTGGTCCCAAAAAACCAGGCGTCAGCGAGACAATCAGAGACAGCGCGGGTGCACTGATATACAATAAGGAGCGCCGTATGGCTCGTTGGGTGGAACATTTTCAAGATCAGTTCAGCTGGCCCCCTGCTCCCAGACCTCTTTCTACTTATTTGATGCAGGACGAGGCATTGACGGTTAGTTTAGAGCCTCCGTCGGAGGCTGAGGTGCGAAACGCGATTACAGCCCTCAATCGTTTTCGTGCCGCTGGTCTGGATTCCCTCCCACCTGCACTACTTAAGGATGGAGGTGAGGTCCTCTGCAGAGCACTGACCACCCTAATCATACGTATCTGGAAGGAAGTGTCCCTGCTAATTGGAGCGAGTCGATTATAGTGGCAATATACAAGAAGAGCAGTCGCACAAACTGTTCTAACCACAGGGGTATTAGCCTAACGCCAGTTGTGACAAAATTACTGGCCTCGGTTATCGTTCGTCGCCAGCTGGGTGGTTCGGGATTTTCCCGTTCCAGCAAATGGTTCGGCGTCAATGTTCCAGGACGTGGTGGGTTTTCGCCAGGCAAGCGTTATCCCTATAAAAAGCCACATATGTCCGTTTAACAACACTGTGACGTGGCGGACGTGACTCGCCACTAAATAAAGTCACTGCCCCTTGCTTCATCCTGGCGAAGCATTGTATTCCAGCAAATTTATGCTGTAGTTCTGGGGAGCATTAGGCCCCTGTTTGGCAAAAGAACAAACGAAAGGCGTATGAACTGAGCAATCAGTCACCGGCTCCCAATGGACGCGATTCCCTGAATTCGCTCCGTTGCCTTGTGGACGGGCTATTCAGACAAAGGCTCGGGGTGGTGTCCCCTAAGTCAACACCCTGCTTCGGCTTGGTCAGCCGGGTAGTATCTCGCCCTCTGACGAAACCATGGACATTGTTGTGTTGTGTTTTCCTTTACTATTTCTGTACCTTCGTTTGAATCCCATGGTTTCTGATGGCACTGTCTATTCGTAGACGTTTGCAAATATATACACTGCGGAACGGGAATCTCGGATTAGGGAAGAGCAGGCCGGTTTCCACCCAGGACGTAGCAGTATAGGTCATATATTCACTGCGGCAGATGCAAGAGCAGCGTCACGCATACCACAGACCGACAATGGCTGTGTTCCTCGATTTCAAGGGTGCGTTCGATTCAGTCGATCGATCGATTCTGTTCAAAATACTTGCGCGCAGTGGTGTTCCCACGAAATACGTGAACATCCTTCGTGCTCTACACTGGAACATTACAGGCCGCGTCCCGGTCTACGGTATCCTATCGAATAACTTTCCGACCACAAATGGCGTTCGTCAGGGTTGTCCGATTTCCCTAATTTCGTTCAATTTCGTCATGGATTCTATCATGGAGTGTTCCCTTGCGGAATCTCACGATGTAGGCGTTGAAGTACTGCCTGGTGAAAGGTTAGTTGATCTAGATTATGCGGACGATATCGTCTTGCTTTTCGACAATGTTGAGGCGGCACAATCAACCCTGAATGGCCTGTCCAGAGTGTTCCCATTATTCGGCATCCACTTCGCACCTTCAAAGTGCAAAGTGTTGCTGCAGGACCACCAGCCACTCGATGACCCCTTGACGCTTGCTAACGAGGAACTCGAGGTGGTTGATCATTTCACTTATCTTGGCAGCTGCATCAGCAACGATGGGCGCATAGAAACTGACGTTAGCTCACGCATTGCAAACATCAGAGCTGCCTTCTTGAACCTGCGACATCTTTGGCGACAGAAGGGAATTTCCCTCCGTCTGAAAGGCCGTGTGTACAAGGCCACAGTGAGGGCCGTTCTGCTCTATGGTAGTGAGATTTGTCCCCTTCGGTCTGAAGATCTGAGGCGCCTTCAAGTCTTTGATC